TCTCAGTTGACGCTGTCGAAGGCCTTTTTAAAGTGGATGAAGTTGAGGTGGAGAGTTGACTACCGTTCTATACTCTGTTCTGTGATGATGAGTAGCGTAGCGTAGCAACTTGATCCGAAATAAATAATTAGACTTCATGAAAATTTGCCTTTTCGGTCGAAAAGAAGAAGCCTAATTGATCATTTCCATTGTTACTAGGGTAGCCTTTTATGTCGCCCAAAATTTGAGGGCAGCTTTAAAGGCCACCCTGGCAACAACTGAAATAACCAATCAGATTGCTGTATTTTATGACAATCAACCTTTCCAACCGAAACGAAGAAATCTAATTGGTTATTTTAGCCGTTGATAGGTTGGCCTTTAAAGTCACCCCAAATTTGACTGCTTTAGAATTTAAACCTTTACTCAAAACAGGATAAAGGCCAGTGTCATAAAGTACTGGGTGTTATCAAAGTTTTAGAGTTAACTATCAACTTACTAAATATGATAGATATTTTGTTGGCTTCATCCACATAGAACTTATGCTTGGGATCATTGGATATTAAAGATGCAGCTTTGATAAAATGATTGCTAAAGACAATATTTTCTTTTCTCCATTCACTTGTTAAGCTAGACAGTGATGCACAGCCAAGTTTACAAGCCAATTTATGGTACCATGACTACAGTGAACATATCGGGTAATTCGGTTGACTTTCAAATTTTTTGAATACATGGGGATAAATATAATTTAAGGTTAGTAGGGATTTTATCCTTAAGGTAGTATTCATAATGGACTGAATGACATCAGTTGGGGGACCACTGAGAAACTTGGGCGAACTAGACAGCTGTTTTGTCCTACTACCCGACTCCTCAGCAGTACATACTCACTAGTATTCATGAAGTTGCTCACTGATCTAGTCATTACGAGATCACATCAAATCACATGATACTAACTTCTTTGCGATACCACTCTAGCAACTGCTGAATAGACCAATCAAGTCTCGGTATGTCACCTGTAAAAGTAGTTTATCATAAAATAAAGGAATGTAATTGGCTGTCTCATCACTCGCTAGGGTGGCCTTTAAAGTCACTGCTTTGCGAAGGTAGTCAGTTCAACCACCTTGACTAGTGGGTAGCTAACAAAATATCATTACACTTATTGGTTCAAATATAAAGTTCACTCCACTGTATTTTATATTAGTTTCCATTTGACATAATAAACAAAGATACGGTATTACTGACTGGATGACATTTCAAACAGAATCTACTGTTCATAACCAAATCCATTGGAAACACATAACTGTTGTCACATCCCATTCAGTCGGCAGTACGATACCACCATTATGTGGTGATTATAACTTCTCTTTATCTAACCACTTTGAACAGACCTTTCTGGTATAGTGGTAGAACTTCAGGAAACCATCATTCCCTGTGGTACAGCTCCTCCTGTCATTCTGATATGCAAGCCTAACCAGGAGTTGTCAAGGTGGCAACTATTGACTGATAATCAATAAGTACGCACAGTGACAGCAGATAAATTCAGCTGATGAGTCCAAAGTATGAAATAATATTGATTATAAATGTGACCATGTGAGGTAGCTGCGGTTTTGTAGACTTGTATTATTGATACTTGGTGTGCATTGGTGGTAAAATGAAAATCTGGGTCACTGCAGGAACTAGTGATCTCCTAGCTAACTGCTTGCTACTCCACTAAGTGAGTTACCAGCCCTATCTGCTAATCAAACTTTAATTTCCTTTCAGTTACTAAGGCTTTTGGCAGACTACCAGTAACTAGGCTATATATATGAAGCACCTGGTGGTTAAAAACAAGCGTTAGGTATCTCTGGCGTAGATTCTGTGCCTGAAAGTACTTTTCATTTTGGTGTATCCTAACCATATAAGAAAATTAAAATTTCTTTAGATGGCGTTTTAAATCTGTGGAACAGTAACTGTCTAGTTTTTAGTGCTCAACATGGACTGACCAAAGTGTGTAGATGAAGTTTTGCAATATGGACAATAAGGTAACTGACTTGACCCTGTGCTGAATTATAATTCGGTGTTTTGCATTGACAGTTAATGTGTATCGGTTACCTCTGACTATTAATTTGTCTGCGCCAAGGTACTTCAGCATCTTAATGGTAAATACTTCAATTTCAGTACTCATGAACGCAGGGTCGAACCATCGAGGGAACAGGAGTTTGCTTATGATTTTAGTTATACCTAAGCGATAAATGATGACAAGAATCAAATCTAATTCAAAGGCTTCTTGTCGATTGACTACTGACATTTGACACAGTATGCATTTCAGGTTTGTAATCATCATGGAGAAACACTGAAAACCTGGGAGCAGTGGAGTTCCATTTTCTCGCTGTAGGGGACTCATCGGCAACGCACACCAGCAAGATACCGTCAGGGCTCGAACCCGAGACCTTCAGGTCCCGTGGCCAGCACGTTACCACTGAGTCACTAGGTAGGAGTTCAATGATCCATGTTTTCCTATTTCTGTCAGTTCATCGTATAGCGCGACCTCCAGCCAATGCCACCACTGAGTAACTGTCATCATATCATGAACTGACAGAAGTCAGAGAATATGGACCATTGGATTTCGGCTCTGTGGCTCAATGATAAGGTACTGACCACGGAACCTAAAGGTACCGAGTTCGATCCGTAAGGGGGGGGGGGGTAGTAGATGCGCGCTGCTGAGGAGTCACATACTAATGGGACGAAACAACTGTCCAGAACTTCCAGGTTTCCAATTAATTTCCAAGTGGTTATTTGGTGATGAGTACCAACCTGAAATCAATAAACAAATTTCCAGTTGTCTTCGGTCATCAGAGTAATTTTTCATCATGTTTAACACTAACAAAAACGATGACTTAGTTAAGTTGTAAACATTTTGTGTTAGTGAATCTCAAAGTGAACATCATCTGAGTTATTCCCTAGTAAATGGATATGAACTTAATAACCATATATATCTCTGTACAGTATGCAATGAAGATAACCTATTGTCTCAAGGAAATGAAGTTGGAACCTATAATCCACAAAAGTGTTTTCCATCTAGAGTAAATCTTCCTTTCTGTTTAATACACTTACCAAATGACTTTTAAACACTGATTATGAGCTATATTTCATTGGTTTGAATATTTAGTTTCCAACCGATTGGTAGCCAGTTTGAACTTCACTGTAGCCATTGAAGTTTTATTAGTTGAGTATGGTTCACTGTCTACTACAAAAATGTACACATGATTGTTCAATGGATTTCATTTTTTTCCTTCTGAAATTTTAAAACAGTAACATAATATTATGTTTATTAGAAAAGTAAACAGCTATAATAATAATAATAATAATAATGGTTTCATTTTGAAAGCTATTTCTGGAATACTGTACAGGATTTTCAGTACTTCATATAGCATCAATTGGATAGAGACAGTATGTATGTATACATAGCAAAATGAACATAGGTAGAAATTACATGAAGAAAAGGTAAAATATTCGCTCAATCTACAACTTTCTTCAAAATACACAGACAATTTAGGTAGACAGTCACATTAGCAATTAGATTCATCATCAATTAGTTTTCTTTCAAAAACAGAAGTTGATTAGTGTGTTAGTTCATTTCTAATACTTTCTTCATCACACAGTAGACGAACAAAATATGTACTTGCTCCTCATCTTTCCAAATGATCGACATCCAGAGATCTATGAGTGAAGAGGATGTTAGTCATCTGATAAAATAACTCCTGCTAGATGTTCACATGAGTTAATATGTTTGTCCATAACAGTTTCAACTAGAAGGTTTAGAAGTACATCACTAGTTCTACTGACAACTTTCAAAATTCTTCGCAATATAGTATAGTCTTTTTTCAACAACTCTAGAGAAAATAAAGAGGAACAATAGAAGAGGACAGGCAAGATGTTGGAGTTTATAAAACACAGGAGGATAGCCTGAGTAATACCAGATACTCTCAGCTTCCTCATATAGAATGTTGGATAAAAAATTCTTTTGGAAATTAGTGAGATATGAGAAGACCAGGAAAGGTGCGAAGAAAAATATACACCGAGATAATTCACACTTGTAACATTCTCCACTGTGCAACTATCAACAGAACAAGAATCATGAAAACTAAACAGTTTACATAAATTATGTTCACGTCTAAAACTAAAGTTTATGGTCTGGCATTTTAAGGAATTTAGCATAAGACCATTCTCAGAGGACTATCGTCCAACAGTAGATAGGGGCAATCTACTGAAGAGGAGATAAGTATAGGAACTGTTAGGTCATCAGCATATTTTGATGAAATTGATGCCATCTGAAGATGATAGGTCATTCAGAAAGAATGAGAAAAGACATAGGGAAAGGATATCTCCTTGAGGAACTTCATTCACATTAAGCAATGAGGTGGAGTGCTTCCCTCTATGAACAGTATATTGTTTCCTATCAGAGAAATAGGATTGCAGCTTGTCGACTATCCAAGACTCAGTATTTCTCCAATTAGCATTTTTATCAAGACTATAAGCAATATATATAAGAGAGTGATAGTGTTCAAAGTGTTTCTTTTGCTTTTCTATTCAAATTGATTAGGTTCTCTGAAAGTTTTCAGTGAGGATTCAAGCACAGATATTATTAGCTTCTCCATTATTTTTAAGAATGAAAAGGTAACTATAATCGAATGGAATTTGATATATATATATATATATATATATATATATATATATATATATATATATATATATATATATATGCATCTGATCATTTTTCTCTTTATTATTATTGTAGAAATTTTGGACCAAAATGTTCTGCATGTCATAAATTAATACAAAATGGAGAATTAGTACGATTTGCTCGACATTATGTATACCATATAAATTGTTTTCAATGTACTATTTGTAAAAAACAATTTACTACAGGTGATCAATATTATCTATTACATAATGATCAATTTTTAATCTGTTATGAACATTATTATAATAATGGAAATTCATTAATTTCTTTAAATTTATCAGTAATTAAAACTTCTTCAGAAATGGATTTATTAACTATACTTACAAATTCTAATTCTTTTATGAAAGAATCTATGAAAATAGAAAATAAAACAAAACTATTGAATACATTTACCAATTCTATAAATTCTGAATTAACAAATCAACATAAACATTCTTTAATTGATATAAATATGAATATGAAAAATCATTCAGATCAATCTAAAACTTATACTAGTCAATACAATAATTTGAATCTAAGTAATTATCAATTAAACTCTTCTTTATCTGGACCTTCTATGTTTTTATCATGTCGAACATTATTGCCAACTTTAACAACACTTTGTAATACACCTGTTGTAGCCTCAGAAACACTGGAATCATTGTCTTCAGTAAAGATTTCTTCCAATTCTATTACTGATAGTAAGTACTACTTTTTTTTTTTTTAGTTTATCTCTGATGGTGTTATGGTGGCGTCCTGTACTAGGATGAAATGATTATCTAGTGTACTCTAAGCTTCTTAATGGATGCATCTAAACTAGTGTTCCTAAGACCTCTAGTCTCGTGAAAACAATAACATAACCATATGCAATCAAGTTGAAGAGATTTTATTATGATTCTCAAAGAAAACAAGAATTCTCAGACTGTTATTCACTATTAACATTATGAGAAGAGTCGTATGAAGTTAATGTGTACAAAATCCCTGAAGTAATCTCTGCTGGCTACGTAGTAGGCTACTTAATAGCTACTGTTAAGTGATGCTTGGAGATTAAATCAATACATCGTGGACTGACATCAGTTGGAGGAACAAAAGAAACCTAAAAGCACTAGACAGCTGTTTTGTCCTAGTATGGGACTCCTCAGCAGTGCTCACCCGAAGTTCCAATGAGAAGTGGTGACCGGTGGGGTCAAAGTCTAATGGTCGTGAGGATAGTTACTCAACCATGACATTGGCTGGCGGTTGCACTATGTCGTGAGCTAACTGAAGTTGGAAATATGGACCATTGGATTCTGACCCAGTGGCTAGCTTAATGATAACGTGCTGGCCATGGAACCTGAAGGTCGGTGGTTCTATCCCTGGCGGGGTGGGGTGGTGGGTGCACACTGCTGAGGAGTCCCATACTAGTGGAATGAAACAGCTGTCCAGTACTCCCAGGTTTCCTTTGTTCCTCCAACTGATGTCAGTCTACAATGAATAACAACTTGAAATATTTTTAAATCTCCACAACTCCTTCAAAATTCAACTGAATAGTTATTAGTTGCATAATTGTTGACCAAGTTGACCTTCGCCTTTTGTTACTGATTGAAAGATTTAGTACACTTTATGAACCAGCAAGTCAAATAACAGAACATATGATATCATATTTTGTTTTGAGACTTGTAATTTCCCATTGCTATACTTGATAGAATTGGTCGACCTCTGTCGGTAGATGAGTAGTTATGTCCGTACCTTGATACTGCCCGACTATTCATCATGATGTAGTCTGCTTGGTGGCTGGATTTCGTCCCATTCCGGACTAGTCAAGTGGATATACTTGTCCCACAGTGAGTAAAGTTATTCCCACTGAGACTCTAACCCAGTATCCATCACTCTAAAGACCAAAGTATTATCCACTTGGCTACTGGAGCACGGGGTTCACCATTTATGCAAAGGGTATCAGTTGTTGATCACGGATACCTGTAATTTCTCATTGTTATACAAGGTTGAATCACTCGACCTCCGTCGGCAAATGAACTCGTATGCCAAAGCGCTGATACTGCCCGAATATTCATTGTGTTATTGTCTCTTTGCTGTAATATGCTATAAACACGTACAACAGTCTTCATATCAATTTAAAATCTTAGATCTGTGAAATTGAAGCTGATTAATACCAAGAAAATTTTCTTTTAGATAGTGTTCATCAGAAGATGGGATTATTTGAAGAACCATTGAAAACTTGGGAGAACTAGTTTAGGACTTTCTAGCAGTATGCATCTATGCATCTGTGAGGGATCGGACCTAGGACTATCGGGTTGTGTAGCAATCACCTTGTTATCCAGGCATTGGATCAGAATTTACTGCTGTAAATTCTACTACTTCTGTTCATCAGCCATACAAGATGACCTCACCTTACTATCAATGTTAAAGTACTTCAGTATATTGAGAATTATCAGTTTGACAGACTTACATTAATGATACTAGGTGATGGTTGAAGGTGAAATAAAAATCTAAGCAGTAACAGGATTCGAACCGATAACCTCTGTGTTACCAGCTAGGTAAGCTACCACACTGGACTTCGGTCATCGTGTTGACACTGACTTCCCAAATTAAGTTCTGGTCAGTTGTTGCTGATCCTCATAGCTGAGTAGGTGAAACAACGGATCGGTAACCCCGAGACCATTGATTCGAATCCTACCGCTGCCCAGATTTCAGCCACAATTAATCTTATATTAATGATGGATAGTGGCTAGCAGTGGAATCCAGGAAGTGCGTCTGGTCCTATTTGAGACCCGTTAGCTGGGTGTACCTGCATCCTAGTGGGTGATGTTGTTGCCGTTGCGACTCGAGCTCAGGACCGACTGATTCAAAAGCCAGAGCGTTATCCACTAGTTCACTGGGCCACGAGATCCTACTATTTTTTAGAGCTTACTAGTTATTATTACTTGCTGATATACTTGTAGTCCTCCGTTGTTCTACTGGATGGAATTAATCGACGTCTGTTGGCATATTGGCTGCTGTATAGATGGAAGCATGTCTAGCTGAAGAGTCCTAAACAGAAGAAAACCTGCATCTTGGATTCTATTGCTAGCCGTTACCAAATCAGTTATAACAATGAATATTAAGGCAATCTGGAAGCATCTGTATAGCAACCCATATACTAACGTAGATGTAGACAGTTAGTCGGCAAGACGATCTGTTCAGTCTGGACTTCCTGACTGCTGGAACTCACTGACAAGGTGCATCTGCTACCTTAAGGAAACTGGTATTCTCTCAGTGACTCTGTCAGCATTGGAGGCAGAGACTTTACTAACCAGCTATTTATGCCTCAAGTGATCCTTCGTAAAACTGAATGATGAAGAATCGGTTACTAGTGAGTAACCGGTATAACTGTTAACTTGTATCAGCTGGTCAAAGTCTGTCGACGAACTGTGCGATGCGGTCATGGAGAATCATCAGACTTTTCACAGTATGAGAGCAATGATGAATATTTGTTAACAATGGAATCTAGGATACACGTTTCGCCCTATTTGGGATTCGTCAATTTGATACATCTATAACTGAATGATGTTGTCCTTAACGAGAGTTGAACCCAGAAGGAAAGGCTCCAAAAGCAAAAGCATTATCCATTAGACCACTATGACACGATAACTAACAAAGGTCGAGGAATTCGGCTATATATATCAACGGGGAATTAGAAATTTTAAAAGGACAACTGATACCCGTTGCATAAGAGGTGTCTATCGTATCCCAGTGGCTTAATGGATGACACTTTGGCATTTGAAACAATAGGTACTGGGTTCAATTCTCACTAGAGTACAGGTGCATCCAGCTGATGCATCTCAAATATGATGAAACATGTGGCCTAGATTACATTGTTAATCAATAAGATCAACGTATCGGTTAGTATTAAGACCTACTCATATGAAGCCATCTATAAAAACAACAGAGGTCGAGCAATTCAACCCTGTATAGCAACCACAGACTACTTGTATCAAAATAACATTTTAAGGTGTTAGCTTTCCATCCAATGTTTAATAGGATGTAATAAAATTTATTTCATATCTGTCACATAGTGACAACACCAATGATCAAAGTAATGCATATCTTATAACTTGACATGATTACATCATTTCTCTTGAGACAGTTAGTTAGTTAGTTACTCACCTTTGTTTATATTATAAAGAAAATGTTTATGAATAATTTTATTATGCGCAACAGAAGTAACATTCATTGTACCTAAAGGTAGGTAGGTAGATAGATAGATAGATGGGTGGGTGGGTGGATATACGTCATTAAAGAAGACTGTGAACCTAAGACTTGTCCATCACTGCTATACACATAGGTAATATTAAGAAAGATGAACAAATTTACATTCATTTCACATCTAATCTACACAACACATTGACTATTCTTAAACAAAGACAGTTTTCAAGTTGACACACTCATCATCAATGGTGACTTGAAAAAATGTTGAAAAACATTTTTAAATTTTAAAATAACTTTTGGACAAAAGAAAAAGAGGATGTAAAAATGAAACAAGAAAAAAAAGAGAATGTTTTCACAAAGATTTTGTAATGTAAATTAGGTATTAAAAATAGAGTATAGGATAAAGAAAATAAGATAACTTTAAAAAAGCATTAGAATTTATATCTTAGAGTATGGTGTGAAAATTGGAGGATAGCACTGGATAGCTGTTTCGTCCTAGTATGATACTCATCAGCCGCACGCAGCCATGTCCCCGCCTACCAAAGATCGAACTCACCACTTTCTGATTTCACACTGAGCTCAATGATCCATAGACTACTATTCTTATCAGTTAATATTCACTTCACTTCCAACCTGATTGAGACCACACAGGTCATAGTTTCTCATTGAAACTACTTCTCTATCTGGAAGCATGTCATTAATAAGAACTTGGTAGTAACTAATTATAAGAATTATGGGGTCTTTTATTTATTTCAAGGTGGTATCCATCATGGATTGATAGCAGATGGAGGATTATTAAATAGCTAGAACCATTAAGCAACTATTTCTTTATAGTGTGCGACTCCTCGATGTTGAATGAATAGACAACTTTTAGAAGACTAACGCTTCGAAGCATAAACAGTACGATATATCCTTTGATATGATGAGTTCTGAAAGCTTTAGATAACTATATTCAAGTTATTGGCCAATAGGCGTTGAAAGCCTAATTTCACTACAATACACTCTTGTTAAGTTTTCTTCATTACTGAATGATGAATATTTCTAAAAAAGATGACATCGGAACGACTATTTACTCCCTGTAAGCTTTGAACTCTCTTTTCAGTTAGTATTAACCTATAGTATAAGTCACCTGTAAGACTAACAATAACATATAATCGATTAGATTGAGGTTACCATTTTGTATTTAGGTATAATGAATAGAAAGTTCTCGAAAACTATAGATGGACTACTGGATAGGCATTCTGAAGGCTGTTGGGTAACAGCCTATCACCGCTAAGAATTTTTATTGCTATAAGTGTAAAACTTGGGCACTGTAGTAGAGTTTAATTCCATATTAGATTTGTTTATTTGATGTATAACACACAGTGATACAGTATCATTTACTAGATGACGTTTTGAGCACAAATTTTTATATCAGCGGAAGCATACTACTTTCGATATCCTATCACCTGACATTGTTTGTTTTCTGTGGTAGTAAAATTTCCTATATCTCTGGTATATGTGTTGTATCATTTCTATTACAAGTGTTTGGTGGGAGCTGAT